CTCAAAATGTATAGGATATGCATTTACGAACTACAAAAATAGCCTAACTTGACTTTTTCAGCGCCTTGACCCGAAATTCCCGCCAAAAAAGCGAAAAATCGCATTTTCTCAAAAACGGCCCCATCACAGATTTCGCGGTTTGTTGTTCCGCAATCAGTAGGCCTTCTAGTTGACATTTCCGCAAAAAAATCGCGGGTGGTATGTTGACCGCATTAAAATTGTTTAAAACGCACCGTGATTTGCTATTTCCGACAAAAATCCGAAAATGGCCAAACTAGAATGTCTAGGGTTTGTGTGGCGCACGTAGACTGAGAGGACTTGCGACAATTGGCGGATCCAGAAAATTGGCAACACTGCTATTCTCCATTTAAACCAATGAAAATTTATCGATTCTCAAAAGGGCCGGATACCCTGACGAAAATCGATTATTCAACGTAGATTTAAATGAAGGCAAGCCATCGTTGCCAAATCGTTTGATCCGCCTCTGAGTGCGCCCATTATACGAGCCTGTCTGATTTTTAGAGCCATGGTTTCTGTGCATATTCAGCACGCAAGGAGCCCAAAAAATGAAGTTAAAGTAACGTATATGCTCATCATACAAGTATGCATTCCTACCACACTTGTATTTTACCGGGACATACTTTTCCTAATAAATTCTTTCTGGTTTGATCGCGACGGATAAAGGATATGCATACTTAAAATTAAACTTTAAAAACGGAATTTCCAAAAAAGGTGCAGAGCAGGTGCTCAATGCTGCTCATATGATCAAAAAGACAAAACTAGAGATGAAATGGCGAAATGTCTCTTTTGATGAAGTAAAAACACCGATGAAGGTTCTATCAAAAACTAAAAAATAAATATATGAAAGTTGACTCAATTGCGTCATAAAACTTATCTACGTAGTAAAAGTTATCTTGTGCAAGTGGATCAAATTTGAATTCCAACTTTTCTCTATCAGCGTTTGCTTAGTTCTTTGGCCAATATACACGTGTTGGTTGAAGAAGTCAGAAAATGTCCTAATTTATAAAAAACATAGCATGTCACGAATAATTTACTTCCACGGATTACTAAACGATTTAATTCTTCATTAGTAGCTGGTGTGATTCGTTTTACATACTTTTAGTATGATTGCATGGTACTTTTCTTGTTTAGCACCTGGACTGAGCTGGGGGAGTCATGCGCCATCTGAGACGGAATGCCGACCATACATTGAGAGAGCCTTAAAGGACCTAGAAGCCCCACACGGTAAGAATACAAGTCTCAAGTCGTCTTCTTCTTAACGGAATAATTTGTCGAATATACCACAAGAAACAAAAGTAAGGGAGGGAGGCTCAACCCCAACGGGGAAAATCCATACTTACTGAGGCTACAAAAATTTTAATGTGGTTCATTCTACCTGATGCATCTAAAATAGCATACATGACAAATGGTATATGCTCAGAAACCAAGAGGAGAAATTATTTAAATACTAAGTATATAATAAAGAAAAAGAGCATGGCCTAGCTCTTTTGTCTACTGTAATTACTCATACAATCAATTTTCACACGCAATGCCTATCTATTTTGACTGACACCATGGACTTGAAAATCAAAGACTTGAACTTTCAATGTAATACATGGAAAACAACGGATTGCTGATTTAACAATTAAATTATCAAAGAAATAAGTCCGACAAGTTTCAAATGTATATTTTACATTAAAGGGAAGTTAATTTAACCATGAGGGTGGTTAAATTAGCCTTTTTTTCCGTAAAATCTACCTTAAAACATGTCGGACACTTTTTTTAACTACGAAATTGTTACATCAGCAATATAATTTTTTTCCGTGTATCCAAGTGCGCTGCACGGTCAATGAGGACACTTTTTGCCATATGCCGTCTTGCATTCTCAAGCAATGCTCAATTTTACTTACTTTTATGATTTATCAGCTATCCCATCATGATAGTTAGGACAGTAGAAGTTATCTAATGGTAGGTATACCAATCAATAGAATCGGTATTAATAATTAAATTGAATAAATGTTACAGATCCTTCAGTGTCCGTAGAGGAGACTAGGAACGTTCAGAATGATTCAAACGAAAATGCAGACAGCCAGGTATATGATGATTTTTTCAAAATAAATATGAATACCGGGGGAAAATACACGGATGTATGTACCCTGTTATCGATACATAGAGTAAAGTTAACATCGATGGTAAAACTGAGAAAATAGGAATCTCCAGTGAGGTAGTTTAAAATTTCTGCTCCTGTTTTATTCTTTTAAAACAATAATAACATTTTGGTCCGAAAGTTCAGAGAATACTCAAAGTACCGCCTTCATTTTTTTTCTAATTACGATGATCAGTTATCCATTATAAGGGGTTGAGATCCAACTTGAAAAAGAAAGTAAAGTGTTGAAGCTTTTGAAAATTAATTTTATTCTTATCTAAAAAACTGCACGACTATTACCTTTCACTTGCTACATCTCGCACGTTCATTGGATTAGCGTATGAAACGGGGCTGTGTTTTGAAAGTTTTGAAACTAAAATTATTTGTTCTAGGAAGGAGGCACGGGAGAAATTTCAAGCTCTGAAGCTGAAACTCATCCGGTGGTAGATGAAACCGTAGCAGAGAGTTTGGAAAACAGCTTAGGGGCCGAAAGCACAGAATCGGCTGAGAGTGAACCTGCCCTTGCTCCGGCAGAATTACCAACTACCGAAGATCATTCAGAAACTGTAACTAGTGATGAACACACAGAAGCTGAAATTGTGAGCCAAGAAGAAGCTTCACAAGCAGAGAGCACTGAAAGTGTTGAAAACACGGCAGAAAATCTTCAGAGCACGGAGACCATCGAAGTGGAAGACAAAGAGAGTACAAGTGTAGAGACTGAAACCGTTCTAGAGAGCTCTGAAACTGAGACTGAAACAAAAATTGCAGAATCTCAAGAAGCAGTGGCAAGCGAAGTGACAGCATCATCGGAAAATCAGGAGGAGTCAACTGAAACTGCAGAGAAGGCTGAAAGCACAGAGGTCGCTCCAGAAAGCGAGGAAGTCGTGTCAAACCCCGTTGAATCAACAGAAACAGAAGAAGCTAGTGTTGAAGTTCCCGTAGAGGTTGTGACGGTGCCTGAAGCTTTGCCAGAATCGCAAGAAAGCTCTGGTGAGGTCGTTACGGAACCAGAAATTGGAAAATCTGAAGAGACCAACTCCTTGGAGACAGAATCATCAGAGGAGACTAAACAGGTGGAGCCGGAATCCATAGAGGTGAAACATGGTAAGTAGGCTTAAGGAATGGATAATCGTAATTACAGATTTTTTTAAGTACCAAGTTTTATGAGAACTTGATCAGTCTTTCTTCGCTGGTGCGACATTATCCAACGAGAGGAAAATGAAGGTCAACGAAGTTTTCTTGCAGAAAAAGTTTCTTGTTGAACACAAAAAGGTGGCCTAAACCTTTTGTAAACTTATAATTTTACACAATTAAGTTTTCAGAAATAAAGTCCTTCGACACCAAACATTGGTATCCAAATGGTCGCTTGAACAAATTAGTGGTTGAGCCATCGGGTGAAAAAATTAAGTTCATGCCTCAGCGCCCAAAAAGTATTGAAACATTTTTTAAGTTGCAGTAGAATAATCTTGATGTGTATTTCGACTTTTTTTAGCTCTTATAAAGTTGTAACATAGTAGTATCACGGATTTCTTTTGTCTTTGTTAGATGCGCAATCGGCTGAGGTATCGACTGAAGCTCCACCCAGTGCACCCACAGAAAGTAAAGAATCAACCGAGGAAAGTGCAGAGCTCACAAGTAAAAACACAGAATCAACAGAAGAAAGCACAGAAGCTCCTGAGGAAGAAGAATTGACGATGGTACGTGGCTTATCAATAAAATTTAAACTCACTTGCACGTATAAATATTAAATTGCGCAATTTAATATTTTTACGTGCAAGTGAGTTTAAAATTGTATGGATCCTTTATCTTGTGCGGATCTCCAAACGAATATTAACGTGCCTCATGGTTTGACAAGTTCAATGGGATTTTTAACAAACAGAATAACAGGAACCCAATTACATTACTTGAACATCCAAATACTTTCTGAAGGACAGTCAAATCCCTACGAGTATATTTTTAAAAATGTTTAACTTCGCATCGTAAATTATAAAAACAGTACTACAGCCCTCGCAAAGTGGATCGAGTCCATCAGAGAGGTCGGCCATGGAATTTTAGGCTAAAACTGCAAATTTTGATGTTTATTCCGTCACATTTTAAATTTCAAAGGGTGGTTGTGATAGAACATTTCACTAGAAAACCAATGGAACCACTTTCAGAACCTCAAAGTTTTGTATACACTGAGTTATCAGCGTTTAAAGTTTCAAAATTGTGTCCGACCTCTTCCATTGACTCGATCCACTGTGCCTCGGTGCATTATTGAAAGGCATCAAAGTTAAAATTGGAGTCTAATTTTTAATTTTTATAATTTTCTTGTACTATTCCTCATGATAATACTTTATGAGTAAGTTACAAATCGACGGTGCAAGTCGGCAATCACATAACTCGGTTTGCGACGTCGCAGACTTCCTGTCATACTTTATTTTTTAAATGGAAAACTACTCAACGGCAATTCTTCAAAACTGTCATGATTTTTCTTCTCAATGCGAAGAAAATTCTGCAAAAACTTCAAGATCTAATGTCCCTTTGACTCTCCTTTAAAAAAATGACTTAGAGGCGGAGATTTTCAGACACCGCAAACGAGTTATGTGATTGCCGACTTTCACCGTCGAAATGCATATTTGAAAATTTAAAAAAAAAAAAAAAAAACTTACACATTAAAATCATGGTACAAGATGGCAAAGTCCCAATGTGTGGCTCAAATCTGGTCATTAGCAGAATTTGAGAAAGTGTTTTTGGCCGACTCCACATTGTTTAAATGTCCAAATTGGAGTTTGATTTAAAGACCGAAAGAGACTTCGTTGTCGTCTCCGTCCTATTGTTAGTTTCTTTGACGTTCATGTGAGATTATGTCAAACATTAAAGTGCCGATATTCAAATATTAAACGAGGGTCTTTTGTTCCTTGCAGGATATCGAAATTCCGAAAAACTTACGACCACGCGACCATATCGCTCAAATTTTGAAACTCGATTCAGAATCGAACGAAACAGAAGTTGCTTTAAGTAAAGTTGCAGATAATACGCTGAAAGAACTGAAGAGACTGTATGACACCGCCATCAAACCGCTCGAACTGCTGTACAAATATCGAGATCTGAGCAACAGGCACTTCGGAGGTGAGTAGAAAATGAAACATTTCAGCAATATTTTCATTTAATTTCTCACGATACATTCAAACTTCGACTATCTGCCAATATGTGGCGGTGACCCGCACCGGATACTGAAAACGAAAAATAATTAAAACTCCACGGAATACGCTCGAAATAATGTAAAAATTGTAGAAAATGACCTTCGAAAAAATTTCCTTCAGTATGATGAAAATAAACATGGAATCTCTGCTGGATAACTGAAACACCGAATAATCGAAGTTCGACTGTAAAGATTTATTCTATGCTTACAATCATCGACACATTTCTAAGGGCTCTTACCGGGATTTTGATGTTTCAGTTCACAGTTCATAACAGGGACACGAGAAATGGTCTGGGGACTCAAGTCTTGATTTCCAACATTTTTCTGTGCGTTCAAACCTCCAGTGTCATTAAAAACGCTTTATGAGAGCTTTGACGTTTACTTTCTAGACTCAGTTTGCCGCACACGTGCTTTTCTCTCTCAGCTTTTCAATTAATTTTTAGAAGAAATATTTGTCAACCAATATTATGTATGCTTTTTATGTAAAAAAAAAAGGTTTTAAGAATAAGAACAGCTCTCTTCAGAATCACTTGAATCTTGTTCCCCGCTAACAAATTTTTCGGTGACCGGTTTCAGATCCAGAGATATTCTCAAAGCCTTTGGTTTTATTCATGGGCCCATGGAGTGGGGGCAAATCATCAATGATCAACTACTTGTTGGACAATGAGTTCAAAAAAACTGCTCTAAGAACAGGTTTGTGTTATTATGTAAGTAAAATATAGGTGCAAAGGTAAATGCTTCTACTACCCGATCCCTTCAAATTTCTAAAAACTTGCTTTTAAAAATGTATTTTATGGATTTTCAAATAATCGTGAACGGGAAGGGCGGTTCTTTGTCCTGTTTTTACAAGGCAACTACCTATCAACTTTCGCGTCTTGGATGTGTCCAGTGGTATTTCGATCGCTCTCATAAAGTCAACTAAAGCGTCTCTATGCTAAAGTGGAAGACAATATAATAACGATAAAATTGTGATTCATGGTATTTTCCGGACCCATAGTCCCTTAAGGCGGTCTTACCTTCTCGTGTCCGTAGACGCCAGTCATATATGACACACATACACAAGTAGATGAAGGGGGGGGGAGCTTATTCCCAACGTTCAAGGTTTTTCCTCCTCGTGAGAAAATCTTAAGAAAATTGAACTTAGTATATGCTATTTTAGCATACTTCAAATCACCAGTACATTTTTTGAACTCAAAATGTATCCCAATATTTGTGCGCTGGAAATGCATTTTACTTTTATTTTTTTGTATTAAACTGAGCCTCTTAAGAAAATCCAGTGATGAAATGCCTTATTTCATTCCTCGATTTCTGCCTAAGGGCTGGAATGCTTCAACAATTACAGACACTCTTGAAGGACCTTTTGCGCATATGCATTTTCACATGGAAACCATTAATAATTATTTTCAAAAAATATGTAAGGAACCACGCTTCACGCTGATTTTTACATAGGTTCAAATAGAGAGATCAGGTACTTTAACAGTCTGTTGACCGTACCAGCCTAAAACAGTTCTCAGAATTTTTAAGACTATCTTTCGGAGATAAAAAGAGAACATTGTTGATTTATGTACGTACTAATTTTGGTCCTCAGGAGCAGAGCCATCTCCAGCATACTTCAATATTCTCATGTGGGGTGAGGAAGAAGCAGTTTTAGATGGAACTCAGCTTGCTGCTGACTGGACATTCTCTGGACTGCAGAAATTCGGTCAGGGTCTCCTTGATAGACTTCGCGGTCTCAGGTTGCGAAAGCCATTGCTGGAGAAAGTAAGTCAGTGGAAAATCAATGTGACAATTAATATGCACCTTAATTTGTGAATGGTTACAACCGTCTCGTATCTCCAAAAGCTGATCCTTTGGGCATTCAAATTCCAAAAAATTGACAATATGAAGTTACGTTGAGTGTAACTCTTGCTCACTATTGTTTTGAAAACTGGTTACGAGAGGTATTAACCTGATATTACTTAGAGAAGAAAAAATGTAAAAATGTTTTCAGTAAAAATATCGGACATAATACTAAATGCGGTTTGCATTTTATTCATGAGGTACGTAATTACCATTTTTTGGGCAGTCACCCATAAACAGCTGAAAATAATCCTTCAGATATTATAGTATCACTAGCAGATGTGTTCAAGGTGACTTAATTCCTCAAAGTCCGGTTTTTCGTTGAGTCCTCTACAACTCAACACTCACGGATGGATTCAAAGTTCTTTTAAAAAGAGGTTACCTACCTATTGAAATACCTATTCGTATTTCAGTTTTTACGCTGAAAAATCAGTCGCTTTTCAGTAGTTAGAAATGTTATCACAAGAAATATTCAGCTGCCGAGATTATTATGAGTGACATATTCACTTTACACTCAATTTCCAATTGTTAAGACACACCCTAATGTTCCGTTACTCACTCATCCGTTGAAACGGCGATTCAGTATTGAACTTAGATTGGTTTTTTTACTCGTGAGCTGCTAAAACATTGCAAAATACGATAGGTAAAACTTGTAAACAGGTATTTTCTTTTTCTAATAAAGGTAAATATTGTGGAGATACCCGGTATTTTGGAAGTACGAAAACAAGTCGAGAGAATGTTTCCTTTCAATGACGCCTGTCAGTGGTTCATTGACAGAGCAGACATCATCTTTTTGATCTATGATCCATCAAAATTAGATGTTGGTCCGGAAACAGAAGCCATTTTAGATCAGCTGAAGGGTCGTGAGTACCAGGTAAGATGGATTTAATATTTTTAAGACAAAAAAAAATTATAAATAAATAGCACAACATAGGTCATGTTAAAAAAAAAAAAAAAAAAAAAAAAAAAAAAAAAAACCCCTTTGTCTAGCACTTAAAAAATGTAAAAAAAAAAGTCCTCATAAACTTGGATCACAACAACATTCCTGACGTGGCCTGCTTTTTAATCCTTAAAAGCCCAAGTCGGATTACATTGACCTGAACACCTCTTTTTAGGGAGTTACGGGTACATAATAGATACAGGTCTACAAATATATCCTAAAAAGAATCAGACATCGAACTGAAAAAAGAACAACAACAGCGAGTGTTAAAACAGCCAAGGGTCGGCCATGAGACGTAACCGAGCCTCGTTTTTAAACTGTTCGCCCAAATCTGAGCAACAACTCACTGACAGCTCAGAGCGAGACATTGCGAGTTTATGCCTCGCGCCTTCAATTTTGCGGACGCAATACGGACATCCATCAAGCACGAATAGTTGTATCCCTGCGCCGTCATCAACGCGCATCCTTTCCCTTGCTCATTTACGTGACATTGCTCATTACATTTACGTATTTATTTACATTTGCTCATTTCATTTACGTAAAAGGAAAATGAGTTTGGTACAGACATTAAGGCGTTGATTTTCGCTATCAATGATTAAAATTAATTTCTATCTAGTAGAGAATATAGGTTAGTATTTTCTGTTAGAATAGAGGTTACTCTCTTATTGGCTCAAAACTAATTTGGAGGATTCGGTGTCAGGGGGACTAGATTTGAGGCTGAGAAATGTGTAAGTTACAAAGTAGTGAAATGGTGCTGGGTTTACACCATTTCTCGGGGAAAATAAAACCAAAAAGTTCCAGACTTTTTACTAAAATTGAAATTTGTTGGATTTTTTGGCTTTGTTTTTTGAGAAATGGTGTGGACCCAGCACCATTTCACCACCTTGTTATATACAGTTCGGGCTATTTCTTAGTGTTTTTTCTCGTAATGTGTAAGTAAACACAAGAGGCTAAACAAAGCTTCATTAATTTTCAGACAAGGATCATCCTAAACAAAGCAGACCAGGTGAAACCAGAGGAACTTATGAGAGTTCAAGGAACTTTGATCTGGAACATCAGTCCACTCATGTCAAGCCCGGAGCCGCCGATCATGTACTCAACCTCTCTCTGGTCTCTACCTTATGAGGCAGGGACTCCAACGAGACTGCTCTTTGCGCAAGAACGTGCTTTTCTACAGGACTTGAGGCTAGCTATTGAGAAAAGAGTAGAGAACAAAATTGCTAGTGCACGTCGATTTGCAGTAAGTTGCTTTCATGTGCTTATTTGATTAATTTACCTAGACAAAGAACCAAATCTTGCCAGGGTGTCTACTAAAACAGTCTGGTCAAAAATCAGTACTTTTACAGTACTTTTTCAGTGCATTCTCAAGAAATTCAGTGCCTCTTCAGCGGGGAATTTCAGTACGTTTTCAGCACCTTCATTTAACGAAATTCGAAAGATTTCAAAAATTTGAATTTCTCGATCAAATATTGACAAAATACCACAAAAATTTCGGGCCTCCTTGCGGAATTTCAGCACTTTTTCAGTACTTCCGGACCGCCTTTAAAAAAATCATCACTCTTCCCGGATTTTTCCGGAAATTCCGGACTTGTAGACACCCTGTTTGCGATACTTAATTTTATCAAACAAAAAGTACATAAAGAATGAGAAAAACGGGTGGGAATACAGAATATTATAAAACATTTCTAGATCTTCTCAGTCGAATGGGTGCGCGTTGGTCGAAACTTTCCAAACTTATTGAACGCGAAGGGCTACTAGGTCACATTAAGAATGATAATATCATACAGGATGCTTGAAATACTATGCATAATAAATCGAGCGCATTATAGGCCACCGAGGTTAGTTTTTTTAATAAGAGATTATCGTGCGTATTTTGCCGCGACCAACACGAATGAACCTCAACTTCACTTGTGAAGGGAAGCAAACTCTGTGTATAATCAAAGCGGTCATTGAAAGCGAACTTAAGAGTCTTAATGACTTAATGAACTTAAGCGAACTTAATGACTGACACTGAAGTCGAGGTCTACCCAAATTCTCTCTTTCCATTGAATGAGCGACAATCAAGAACTTTTAAAAAAAGTCACATCTTTCTGCGAATTTTTCATTGTGAGCCACACTACTTGATGTACCAAGTATGAAGTCTTTGATTCGAGTAGATTTGGATTTTCAGTGAATGCGCATTTTGAGTGAGTGTGCAAAGATTAAAAACGCTAATTTATAAATCTTTGATACGATGATACGTTCACTCTATTCTTCTGAGAGGTGGAATTTTAATATTCGTTAGTACTTTATATCTTATGAAATGATGAAAAATTGAATACGATAAAATCAAGTAATTAACATTACTATTTTGAGAACCTTAAAAAAGAATATTGTATGTATTTTTTATATTAACCAATTTAAGTTTAATTCTATAAATTTGAATAGAAAAATTATAATTTTCATTTATGGTTTAAGAATTTCTGGATTTCCACCTTTTCTTGGACTTTTAATTAAATGGTTAGTAGTTAATTATTTTTGATCTTTTCCTTTCAGGTGCGAGTGCGAAATCACGCGAAAATGGTGGACTGTTACCTTACAACCTACTACAATCACAAATCTTTCTTCGGTAACCGCAAGAAAATAGCAGAGGACATTATTGAGCACCCACAAAATTACCATATCTATGAAGGCCTGAGTACGCTGACAAACATTTCTCGCTATGATCTCCCAGATCCGGAAGTGTACCGGGATTTCTTCCGTTTGAACCCTGTCTACGAGTTCCAACGCCTATCTGACACATGCACGTACTTCAGAGGATGCCCTATTAATAGGCTCGATGTAGCTATTGCATACGATCTACCCGAACTCGTCGGACGGTACAAGAAAGCAGTCGACTCTGTTCTAGCCCAAACAGCCAAAAAACCAAAAAGTTGAGACTCTGGCTAGATAAACCGATCAAAGAATTAAAGATACGCAAAAGGTATAAACAAGCAGGTAAACATATTTTCCCTCGTCATCACAAAGAAAGAAGTTCAGTACTTGATAACTGGCAAAATCACCCACGATTTTTTTTAAAAAGTCAAATATAAAAAATATGGAAAAAAGTGGAATAAAAAATTTAATTTAGCATGGAAAAATGATAAGAGATTGTTGAGCTACAAAATCGGGCAAAGTAATGCTACATTTACCTACAAATAAACACGAAAAGAAATAAAAAAATATTATTCATAGTTGATTCCTAATTCAACACTGGGATCATCTGTTAATAAGATATTATTTGTGAGTCTCTTTCATTTTTGGATGGTTTCAGTCACTTTGAAGACACACATGCGGGATCAAAAGCAAATAAAAGGGGGTACAGGTTGATTTTTTCTTTTAGACAATCGATCCTTTTACCATAAGTACGTTTTTTGTGAGTGACATCACCTTTCGATACAATTTCTAGTTGAGGTGTAGATTAATATCATAAATTAATTTGAATTCCGACAAAACTGATAATAAAGGTGATCAAATGAAGTAAATGAGCTGCTGTTCTAGAGTTTATATGTAAGAAACAAATTTGTAAAGGCTACGTAGGAGCTTCATAATTTATTGACATTTGAGACTCAGTATTTTAAAATGTTTTCTTTCCCTTTTGCGTACATCTTTGAAGTTATTATGATCGTCCGATTTAAAAAAAAAAAAACTCTTCAAATGCTTTTTTCTTCTTCAAAATTCTATCAACTCAAATATTTATTTAATTTTCGATTATTTATTTATTTATTTATTTATTTATTTACTTATTCGTTTTCGATTGTTATAATTTCCATTTAAATAGGATTTTTTTTTTCAAATTTTGTTTTAGAACACCGAAATTAAGCTTAGCTGTGATAGATTAACATTGATAAAAATGCCAGTTATGAGACTTAAAAGCGTCAAAACACATCGATGAAAAATTCAAAATTTTAAAAAATGTATAGTTTCCTTCCAGTTTTACCTAATATCGGAAGTGTGATATCAACTGTTTACCTGAATTTTGGAAACTGAGAAGAGCATCAAGTTGATAGTCATGACTGATAAACTAACAAATAATACATGCCAGTGAGGAATTAATGACGTGGCAGGTATACAAAGGGGTGGATTTTTTTATTTTTCTGGAAAAGCAGCATGTGTTTTGCCAAAACAGATGAACGATCAAAGATTTCTGGAGCAATCAGGACCAGATATCAAAACATACGTTCATATATTTTGGTTTGCCAGAGAGGAAACAAAAATTAATCATGCTTTTTGCAAACAAGAGAGAATGAAATAGGACAAATCCAATTCACTCATTCTCTCTTTTTTGCTCCAGTGCCTCTTAAACAAATACCACTAGACCAACGATTTTGATTTCTGTACAAATAGATCTTTCTACTGCCTTCTATTACTAAATGACCAATGAATGAGTAAGTTATTCAAGAGACAGCTGTAGACAATTATAGAAATTGCACTAAACAACTATTTGTGACAGCCGTGTTGGAAAGACAAAGTAACTAATCTAGAATGTTTGATAAATCCAAGGTCATGGAAATTTCATTTTAAGAAACTGTTTTATTCACCTACTTTTGACCATTCTTGATAGTTACATTGTAAAACACGGTAATCCGAATAGTTCATACTTAGGATTACGATTAGGACCAAGGGACTTAGAAAGTGCAAGTGTGGTCGTGGGGGGAGGGGGGATTCTCTGGGAGGAAACGAAATTGGTTTAGATCATAAGATAAACGGTCACCGCAAATACGAATGTATTTCTCAAATACACTGGTGTAAAATACCAAAAAAGAGGAGAAAAAGGGAACAGAACAACGAAAAAATACATTTCTCCACTTTTGACCTCTTAATTACAGCTTTTATATCAAAGGTATCGACCGTCCTTTTAAGGTTTTATTGGATCCTAATTAAAGGTCGGACACCTTCAATTGACACGTTTTAGTTTATAAAATCATGAAATTAACAATAAATATTTGCAATTTCACTTTGAAATTGTGCTTGGATAATGTTCACTAGGTCTACTGAGAAAAATTGCAGTTATTGGCGAAGACCTTTAAAAGTTGGTTCAAATCTTACATACAATTTTCACTCCTTCAAAGGCTGAAGATTTTAAGTATATCCGTCACGGGACTATAGACTGCGGTTGAAGGTCGAAATTTTTCTGGAGGAATGCTGATAGTAGATAGTATACGATGGAGAGATTGCTCAAAAAAATAGGACTTTCTACTAAGGTTTTTGCACAATTACGAGCAGTACTTAATCGACTGTTTTCGTGTACAAGATTTAAGGACTCTTATCTTTAACAGATGTGATAGAAAATAACGTATGAAAAAATACCAAATAAAGAGTAACCCTGAGAGTAAAGCTTATGAAAAAACAGCCTTCTTTCCATTTAAAAGTATTCTTTCTAATATTCAATTTTAAAAATTGTAATCTTTTTAGAAATTTTGAAATTCTTGCCAAAGCGGTGTGGCAGTTAATATAAATGATATATTCCAACACGGCGCAATCAAGAAGCTGTCGATCTTGATAAAAGATAGTGAGACCTCAAAACCTGTCTGACATTATTTTATTCCAATAACCTGATCTCGTACGAAAACAATTCTGTAAAGGTAAGAGTCCTTTGGGTGAGCAGGATGAACACAAATATGCGGGTTCATTAACTGAGGGTGTCAAACAGCATTTAAAGAAAACGGATCAAATTTCTTAAATTGCTTCGTGATGTTGATTAATAATTGAGAACATCAAGTTCTGATTTCTTACATTACCTACATTTTGTTACGTGAATTGTTGATTTTTTTGTTATAGTTGTTACGTTGTTTTAAAAAAGCTCGTTTGCGGTATTTTGTAAATATCAATCAAAATTGTTGCGCCGTCAATTATAAAAACCTTTCGACTGTAAATAAAATTCAATCATTTTAAACAGGTTGATGTCATTACTATTCCATACACCTTGTAACAGATAAATAATTAGCTCAGTCGATGATCCAGCCACAGTTTTTCATTCATTATCTTAGTGAGCTTTTTTGCATAACTTTTAGACCAGCTGAAAACGAAAGAAATATAAAATACCCATGATTTATTTGGCACAAACAAAATTTATTAAATAAAATTTGGCATTACATAAAAATGTTTCAAGAAAAAATTATCAACATGTAAAGCTAAGGCCTCATTACAGAAGTTAGGTAGAAAACCAAAACGTAAAAATCTGTACAAGAGTTTTGAATATAACTAAATTACATACATGATTCATATTGCTGTAAAAGGATTTCTTGTTCCCACCTTAAAAACTTGGGATATGCTGATTTCTTTGATGAACTTTATCTTTTCATGACAAAGATATCATGCGGAAATCTTGAAAATATTGCTCTCACATTCTGTTGGCAAACATCTGGCTTGAATTATTTTAACGTCTTTTTATTTTTGGACGACCTAAATAGCCGTGGAAATAACGTAGGCGTACGTCGATCAAGTAAATAATCAATATTTAATTATGAATCTTCAATTCTCAAACATGTCATTTACCAGGTTTTGTCGTTCCATTTATTGTTCATTGGATTATCTTTGGAGAATAAAATTCTAAGAGGTCGAAAAAACAAAATTACTCTGCTACTTTGAGAGAAGAAACGTAATGAAAAAACTAAACAGTTAATGAGTGCTCATGATTGATTTTTCTTTAGATAAAATAGGCAAATCAGCTTCAACTGAGTGACCAGAATAATGCGTATATTCCTAACTCATAAATGTAGGTTGACTGGTTCCGTCGAGTCTTATTCCAACGGAGCTACTCATTTTAGGGTGAAAAAAACACAAAAAAACTGAATTTTTCAACTTTAAATTTCTAAGAGAAGTCATGGAATGTGAGAATTTTAAATAACAAGAGATAAAAGAAGAAAAACTTCGAGTAAAGATACCAAGCTTTTGGTAGGCTAGGAAAAATTTAATATTTATGGCATATTTTACGAATGTAATCAATATATAATTACTAGATTTTGTAATTGACTAGACTTCACTTTTCTACCATTAAACTTCAATTCAAGATACGGTGACACTTCGCATTGTGTTTCAGTAACATTGAAGAAAATGCGAACGGTCACGAATGTAATTATTATGCAATTGATACATTGAAATAAAAAAATACGTGCGCAGTGCTTAAAACTGCTTCTATAGTTTTTTTTAATATACACAAATCGCCAAGAAAAAGACGTAATGTATTACCATTTGAATTGGGCTAGTCAGACATGAAATCATACCTCTAGCTTGAGATTGATTGATTTAGTAACTAAAACAAAAAAAAATTAAGTGTTGAAAAAATTCTCCACGACCGAGTAATAGAAGCAGCATACAATGATCATCACAGCAAGACATTGCTGCGTTAGCAAACCCACAATAAAATCTTGGAGATAAATGGAAAAATAATAATAAAAACTAGGACACAATTCTTAGTTCAGTGAACTTATGAAAAATTAATTCAAAGCATGATAGATGAGGTAAATGGGCAAAGAAAATATACAAGTTTTCGAATCCACAGGATACGTTTGTAATCCGCCTGTCCCAAAAATCATTTAAATTGATAAATCCTCAGCAGGAGAAACACACAATTCAGATGAAGGAATTTCAACACTTAATGAGAGATATATTATACTTGAAAAGAGAAAAAAAATATACAAAAGAAATAAATGGCTGAGGTAAAAAAAATAATAGAAAATATCCACTATAGGATATTGCAAAGCAACATTACTGATTCAACATTTTCCTGAAATGATTGATGAATTTATAAAAAACACTAAATCACGTACTCTCAAGCAGGGTAAAATGTTGAAATGCCACTCGAATACACACAAAAAATAATTAACTGCAAATGAGAAAACACAAAGACTAATGACGTACATTATACTCTTCTGGAAAAGAAATATTGAAGAGTCTTTCACTCGATTCCCTATGGACACCTGCATTGAAAAAATTTTGTGCTAGTGTAACCCAGGAGTGCTTAAAGTTCATTTTTGGAGCCAGTCTTCGCATTTTTTGAATTTGCCTTAAAACACTGCTGTGGGCATAAGACACTCCTGCAAGTGTTTCTATTATTCCTTTCCTACTCGTTTTAGTTATAGGACATTTGTCAACGATTTTTAGTCCGCGCACCTGTTATTTCCAGTAATTTACGTCCACGGTGTTTTTCGGCACGGGATTTTTGGTTCACGTGCCAGTTGAGACCCAAAGTTAATAGGCCCACACGTAAATACAAACGACAATTGCCAACGACGTTTTTGGATGAAAATGTAAAATGTCTTGGAAGAATGAGGGTTTGCTCTTTTTTTTTGGTTTGTCTGTTTGGTCCAACGGAGAATAATATATAGTTGAGAGTTTTGGTAAAAATGGGGGAGCGTCAATTCCATGAGACAAAATTCACTAAAAGTCTCTACACCTCTTTGGTGTGACAGGACTTAATTATCTTTCAAGATTTCCCCACCTTGTTATACCTAAACCGGATGAACCGCTATATTTGCCTCAGCTAAAGGCGCTTCGATTTTTCCAGTGTACGATAAGTATCTTGATTTATTTTGCGAGGAAAGATCTGTACTTTTAAAGGATGCCTGTCATTCTTAATACGTTCAATTTCGTATAATACTGTGCCTCTGTTGTGAAATAGTTGCTTCAGGCGCCGACGCACGACGGGCGGGCAGCCATAGCGCGAGACGCGCATTGGCGCCTACAAACCTAAGTGGATACTTCAAGCATTGTGCAATGCGTGAAGTATCCACTTAGGTTTGTAGGCGCCAGTGAGCCTCTTGCGCTGGCAGCACGCAGCTCCGCTCTCTTAGCCTTTGATATGTATACTCGCATAGTCAGCGTTTTTTAACTCAGGATTTCTCATTTCCATATTGTCAATATAATTTTACGTACCGACTAAAATAAAACGCTTGAACCAAGTCACCATTGCTTATTTCACGTGTGGGCGTAAACTACTGGACAAAAGAGGTGCGCGGACAAAAAATCGTTCACAAAATGTCCTGAAACCATTCGTTTCTTGTCCCACTACAGTTCGTTCTACACGTATAATGCCCTACTGATTTATATCCAGAGAAAATTTGTTCTACTTTCGATTAAAACAAAAGTAAATTAAAAAAATATAGCTTAAAATATTGGGGTTGTTTCTTAGTGATCAATATTAGTTGCGAGGTTAGGTCGAGATCTTTTCCCTCTGAACTTCATTCATGTTAAAGTATCAACTTCAATCAGGACAAATGCCCTTCGGAAAAAAGCCAGTGGGGCACATCATTCGTAGGACTTACTGTAATGGGACAAAAACGAGCAGGAAAAAAGTATTAAGAAAACTTGCGGTAGAAAGGAAGAATTTAGAAAAAAACAGCACCGTGCACCTGCACCCCTGTAACCTACTTTACTAATACATATGTTGCAAGGTATGATTGAAATACAGTAAATGGACGGATAGTTGATTGTGAGAGCTACCTTTGAAATGAAGTCACTGTAATATTGAATGAAATTGCACAAACAATAAGAATTATTGATTACTCAAAATTCGTGAGTACAGGTTTGATTCTTCAGAGACAAATTTTGCAAGGGAAAATTTGGAACAGTAAGCAAGGCTTTTCAAACACAACTGTTTTGGAGGAACTGGTAATCATCGTCATGTCTTTAACAATGTCTTGAGTCTTTACTATGGGAGATCAATACAGTCAACATTGTAGTTAAAGAGGAATGTAAGGATGTCTTTTATACGGAGTCGAAAAGAAGAGACTTCTAGTAAACTTTCAACTTAATTCCATCTGGTAACTGCAAAACTATCTCTGTAGGTGATCTACACTTATATCAGGGACTAACGGGACTGAATTATACAAAATGGAACCAAATCAAATTTTCGGAAAATTGAATCAGGAGTGTATTGATGTTAACAAGCCGCACATTTTTTCCTGTCAAAAAGTCAAAAGTCCAGCAAAAATAATTCAAGTGTGAATATGCGCGCTGAACTTCACCTGTAACATCGAGTCTTATGAATTGATAAAACTTTAAACCTCTTCCCCTCGATTCGATCGCGATGTGAGTTGGTTCCTTTTGAAGTCGCTTTATAGAAAAAGTTGAGAAACGCGGAATTCATTCCTGATTAAAATCTGAGTTTTAGGTTTCCATGATGTCACAATCAGTCACAATTTCACCGTTTAAAGAGAGTATACAGTATGCACTGGAATGGACCAGGGAACAAATGGAATGAGAATGGGAATGGAAGGAAAGAATCCAGGAATGAGTGGATCACATATTACGGAAACATTTTGAAACCGAACAATCATTCTGACAGTTGGCGACACCAAGATTCGAGATATTTTAACTCTCTTTATAAAGGAACTACGCCGCTCCTTCGTGTTAAATTCGGTTCAACTGAATTAACATATTTCAAATTCACACTTGTTTTCCACGACACACAGTCGATCGAGTCAACGGAAAAAGTCGGACATGAAATTTTTGACAAAAATTGTAAAATTTTACGTTTTTCTCATCACAATTTTAATTTTAAGGGGTACTTCTCAAGGAAAATTTTTCGAGAAAACCTAGGAAACTACTTTAAAAACATCAAAATTTCATATTAATGAAGATATCGACGGTGTAAGCCGGCAATCACGTAACTCGGTTTGCGACGTCACGGACTTCCTGTCATACTTTATTTTTTAAACGGAAAGCTTTTCAACGGCGATTCTTTAAAACTGCCAAGATTGTTCCTCTCTGTGCGAAGACAATTCTGTAAACACTTCAAGGTGTGGTGCCAATTTGTTCTCCTTAAAAACATACAGGCGGAGATTTTCAGACACTGCAAACGAGTTATGTGATTGCCGACTTACACCGTCGATATACACTGGAAAAAATAACACATTGGATCTAGAGTTCAGACTCTTAAAAACATCGACAAGAAAAAGTACTCTTGATTCAATCAGAATCTAGCTGAAATCAAGAACCCAGCCTCTTCATTTAAGCGGATTTAGTTTTGATTCAAGCAAAATTCCGATTGAATCAAGAGTATTTTTTCTTGTCAATGTTCTCTAGAGTCTGGACTCTAGATCCAATGTGTTTTTTTTCCAGTGTATGCTTTTGAAGTTCTTAAATCATGTCCGGGCTCTCCTATTGACTCGCTCCAGTGCGCGACAGGACGTTTTCGCTGCACTAATTCGGGAGTACATGTTACTCTTTGAAGACTTTGGATGGACGGTGACTTAGGCCAAAGCAACGATAACAGATCCCCCGCGATTATGGTCGATCTGCAGCTTGATCAGGTACAAACTTCACCTTAGATTAAGGTCGAGCTAGACGGAGCGCCTACACTTCGTCCCAGAGGCAAAATTGTTTCTGTTTGACGTGGTAGCGGAACATGTAGCACTTCTTGCAGGTCTTGATGCCGCAGCGGTAGCTGCTGTCGACGAGTTTGCTGCTGGCGGATTTGCAGTACTTGAGCCCGCACGGGTACCAACCTATGCAGAGCTCCAGCTGGCAGGTGCACGGCGCCCACAGCTCCATCGTGTTCATGCACCTCGTGTGCGTTTTATGCTTGCTCGACGACAGGTCGATGTTGTTCGAGTTCGGCAAGTGCTTCACCGCGCTCATCAGGTTGATCAGAGATGCACCTGCAACAGAAACCCCCGTCGGGGCGTTTAATATACGTACGCCGAAAAAATTGCTCAGTTGCAGAACTGCAATGTGCTTTAATATTTGGATTGCATTTTGCAATAAGGAACCACTATCTCTGGCTCTCTCATAAAAGCACATATCTGCATAGGGAAACCAATGACATGTATGTTGTCTCTATAATGGGCCAGAAATAGTGGTTCCTTATTGCAAAATGTAATCCATTTGGACCGACTTCATGAGAAAGGAACCAACCCACTGTTTCGAAAAAATTGAGTTGAGGCGATTCGACGGACGCCATTTTTGGTGTCTGAGCGACGTGCGATACATCGCATCGATTTGTTCTATAATTTCAGCTACTTGTCACTTTTCTCGAATTTTGAGATCGCAATTCTGTCGTCAGGAGACTAAAGAATTCACTTACCAATTTTGACAAACAAATTCATCGTAATTTTGGCGTGGTTTTTTAAGAGAAAAAATATTGCATTCGATACTTTTATTGAAACTGCACTAGAATGCGATATCTTCCCTCTACAAAAACCACGTCTAAATTACGATGAATTTGTTTGTCAAAATTGGTAAGTGAATTCTTAAGTCCCCTGACAACAGAATTGCGATCTCAAAATTCGAGAAAAATGACGAGTGGCTGAAAAAATGGAATCAATCGATGCGATTTATCGCTTGTCGTTTTGACACAAAATATGGCGTCCATCGAATCACCTTATGAATTTTTTTGAGGCCCAGTAGCCGTATATTTTCTCCTGCCAAAAACTGAAAGTCGAAAAACAGAAATTAGTTTTTGAAAAGAGGGGTTAAAGTTTTTTTTTTTCTACATTGAGCCTTATGCAGGAATAAAACTTCAAGCCTCTTTTTCTCAGTTTCAACTTAATGTGGGTTGGTTCCTCTCTGATGAGCTAGGTCCGTTTGACGGAGTGCTCGCAACCTCAAAATATCCTTCAAACAATGAAGGATATTACTTTGACATAAAGCGACACTTCTTGTCGACAAAATTTATTTTTATGGAATTGAATCCGTGCAGGTTTCACTCAAAATCAGTTTTTTTAGTTAAAATAGCGTCGTTTTGCAATCGTCAAGTCAAAGAACGACAGCAAAACAACGTTTCTCTAACTCAAAAACAGCAAATTTTCTCGACAAAAACGACGCTGTAAGTCAAAGTAACATCTCGAGAAAATTGTTTCGAAATGACTGTCGATCTTCCCCTTTCCGCTTAGGTACCACTATCCGCCCTCCGAAAATGTCGAATATCCATCAGGATCCTTCCCGTGCAGCTAGGAGTGAGAAACGACTCGTTAGACAAATTGGATTGTTCCACGTTTCGTCGAGATTAGAGGAGCCCTGATCGCCTACGGTGGAGGGAGCAAAAGTGGGGACGGAAAGCGAGGGATGGGGTGGGGGGATTTTCGCCCGCCGTGAAATTTTAGGGGGTGGGACTCGGAGAGTAATTGAAATTAAAGGGCAGTGGAGTAGAACCCAAAGCGTAATCTACCTCGGTGCGAATGTGCTCCCGATGAGCTTTCGCTTACGGCCGTTGGTGCCGTGCATGCTAAAAAGCTTCCGCTCGAAACGATGAATTTCCTGGTGAATCTTACGCTGAATCCACGGAGGACCGTTGTGCCTTGCAGCGATCCTGCCCTAAAAGCCAATACGGCCGCAACTTTGTGATAAGGTTCCAATATTAACCCTTAAAAAATGCTTTATTGCTGGGCTACCTCATCATCTTCAGCATTCTTTATTCCCGCGCTGGAAAAAAAAAAAAAAAAAANAAAAAAAAAAAAAAAAAAAAAAAAAAAAAAAAAAAAAAAAAAAAAAAAAAAAAACATCGGATCTAGAGTCTAGACTCTTAAAAACATCGACAAGAAAAAATACTCTTGATTCAATCAGATTTAAGCTTAAATCAAGAACTAAGCCTCTTAATTTGAGCGGATTTCTTTTTGATTTATGCAAAAATCTGTTGGAATCAAGAGTATTTTTTCGTGTCAATGTTTTCAAGAGTCTGGACTTTAGATCCAATGTTTTTTTTTTCCCCGTGCGCGTTGTTTCTCAATAGCATGAAAAGGTCATTCCAAGAATACATATAACGGGGATAATTCATGATTATCTCGTGACAAAGCATTTCGGCAGAAAATACAAAAAAACGTAGACGTCATTAGTTTTCCTTTGCAGCGGGCTGATTGTTGAAATTGGTAGACAAAACGATAGACAAAGAAGACAATAGGGATATGGAGGGATCCTTTTGGTGGAAGCTGGTGGTTGCAATGGACGAAGGAGGTAGGTAATAGAATAACTAACGGCAAGTAGCAACGCTACATGTCGTCATCATTCTATTTCTGTTAAAGGTACCCTGTTATTTTGACAAGCAAAAAAAAAAAAAAAAGTCAATTGCCCCCTTGGGTTTTAATGAAATGACGCCACAGTGCATGGCAAATAATCTTATGTTTTTGCGACAATGTCGTAATGAGTTTGAGCTCTTTTTGCCAAAATACTGAGCGAATGCACCAAAAATGATTTTGAGGAAACGTTTGTGAAGTATAAAAAAGAACATTTGAACTTTTCAAGTTACGATTTGACCTCATTTTTAAGGCATTACACAACGGCAAGTATCGGGAACAAAAGCTAAAAAAAATCGGGTAAAGCTTGTGACGAATATGCTAATTCGAGCCGACCCTCCGGTCTAACAAATCACATTTTTTTCTCGTTTTTTATGCGGCAGGCGGAACCATCAAAGCGGCCGTTCGATTTGTAGAGCTTTCGGCGGATTTGCCCGGGTCGCAAAATCCCCTTAAAATAGGAAGGGAGAAAAAGCGAACTGATTTTAATTTGATACCGCCCGGAGTACACCGTGAAGGGAGAGGGGGGGAGGCGGCGAAACAGCGACAAAAATAGGAATGAAATAATAGAGCATTAAATCCCTGACACCCAATAATCTCACACTCACTCGTTTTCGTCCCTCGGCGTTTGCTTGATGTTCGCAGAGTCACTCAAATCAATCGCGAACTTCAATGGCGGCGATGAAGTATAGAATCGTGTATACGTGAGACCAAATCATTCTTTAAAATTCAATTAAAATTGGCTTTTTCAAGTACTTCTCAGCTAATCTGGCGGCATCGCATAAATTTCATCCGTCATCTCGCCCTTTTAGACAGCGTTCGCCCGTTCAGAATCATTTCAGCCAGTTCACCGTCACGGAAGCGCATAGCGCACCCACACAAAATATCGGGTGGTAGTTTCAAACCTTCGCATTGTACGTATGCATTTGCTTCATGAACCACAAAATGAAGGGTTCCTTGTGTGTATGAAGCTAGTCCGAGTGAAAAGACTAAGTTCTAAACTGAGCGAAACTTTAATACATTGTCTTTGGCGGATGTATCAGTCCGCCCTCAGTGCCATTACGCATGCGATTACTTATATATGAGCTTTTACCGAAACGTTCCGGTTTTTTTTTGGTTACCTCTTGTTTTATAATGCAGCCTTACCCCAGAGTAAGTTCTTATTTTATTATGTCCATGAACAAAGTTCTGTTTACTTTTTTCCTAAACAGGGTGTCTACTGAAACAGGCTGGCCAAAAATCAATACTTATACAGTACTTTTCCAGTACATTCCCGAGAAATTCAGTGGCTCCTCAGCGGGAAAACTCAGTACTTTTTCGGCACCTCCAATTGACGAAATGCAAAAAATTTCAAAAATTTGAATTTCCCGCTCAAATTGCGACAAATGAAACAAAACATTCCGGGCCTTCTTGCGGAATTTCCGCTCTTTTTGAGAACTTACGGTCCGCCCTTAAAAAAGCAGTACTATTTCCGGACTTGTAGAGACCTTGCTAAATCTAGTCGATTTACCCGACGATAGTTTTTTAAATATTCTAGGAAGCAAGTTTCAAATGTTTTTCCTGGTTGTACGAACCCGTATTTCTTTTCTCAGCTCTAAGTCGAGTAAGAAACTGCCAAGGGGCTAAGCGCAGCACGAGTGGCGAGGTAAATTTACACTGAATGAAGTAAGTAAATAATTGACAGTAAATGAGTGGAGCACGTGGCCTGAAGCCCTCAGAGCTAGGGATCCTCGAGGACGCCTGGTTTGCCTGAGGCATCCGCTCCGGCGAGGGGCGACACGACGCGACGGGACCAGTGGCGTGACATGCTTTGCGATATATCGATTGATCGGCCATTTAAACCTATGGAAAAGGATCGATAGACAGGGTGTTCGTAGCGAACGCCTTAATACTCGATTCTTTACCATGGGTTTAAATGGCATAGCAATCGATATATCGCAAAGCACGCCACGCCACTGGACGGGGCGCACTCACATGGCTCTCGAGGCTTGATTAAAGTTCTCTGGCCGGATCCATTGTCCCCGTCGTGGACGGCAGGAGACGGAATTCGCGAGAACAATCCCACTTCTGGAATATTTACAGAACTCCCGTCCGCCCTGGGTCCTTGAACGCCCTTCCGAGTCCCGACTCTTCCAGGTTTGTACGTGTCGCCAGACGTCGCGCAGGAATGTGCGCCAGGGATCGGCAAGCGATTATCACCGTTCGACGCGCCATCGGACAAGGTGCAAAAATCATTATGATCAAAGGCGGGAAAAAAATGTCGAAAGGCTCGAATAAAATCCACAAATGTAAAATTTGTTCATTTTTTGGAATTAATAATTGAAATTTTGGAAGACAGGAAGCGTTTCAGACGATCTTTCTGTTGATGCGGCAGTATATGCGACCCTAATGAGGTGCTACACACGAAGGGGGCACAAACGGAAGTAGAGAAAAGCCCCAACCCAAAATCTTCGAAAGAATCCACACAAACGTTCTCATCTAAAAAATTAAATTGCCAAGTTAATTTTGGCAATAGATAATGTGGCTTGGTTCCTTTCTGCTAAACGTGGTCTAATTTATAAAAAAAAAAAAATTGGATGAAATAGGGTTTGACAAGATCCTCATGTGTTTTTAGGAACCGAATTCAATTTTTGTTTACACGTTACACGTTG